TGCCTCTTGGAGGCCTCTTGGCCATTCTTGGGGCTCTGGGGAGCCCCGACGGCGGCGCCAAGGAGCAGAACCATCTCTGACCGGACCTTGCCTGAGATCGGCCAGGGTACTTTTCGCCTGGCGCCCCCCGAGAGCGGCACACGCGCGCGAATTAGAATTCTTCTATACCTGTTACTAGAGATCTTAGCACGCCTCTTGCCTGTTGGGCCGGCGATTTTTGGCCACGGCGGTAGCACGCTTAGCTTTGCTTTGTGCGTTTCACCTCTTGCCGTTCGCTCTATGGTTGCACGCTGGCCTCACTGTGCTCGTCGCTTGGTGGTGTCCGCTCCCTTTCTTGTCCCTCCAAAATGGCGCTGAAAAAAAACAGGTCTCAGAGGTGTCGCATGTCTCACAGGTCCCGCAGAGGTCCCCCAGGACCCACAGGTCCCGCAGGTCCCGCCGGTGCCACGGGTCCAACTGGTCTCGCATGTCTCACAGTTCCCCCAGTTCTCACATGACTCACAGATCCCACAGGTTCCACAGATGTCGCAGCACAGAGGTCCCCCAAGTGGCACAGGTCTCAAAAGTTTTCTCTTTCTGATTGCGTATAACGCGATGGGGTCTTTTGTTGAGTTACAGGTCGGCTATGACACGCGTCCGCAACTGAAGGGATGGGAGCGAGGGATCGAATGTCAGATATGGCGCGAGCTCACCTGGCTTGCCTCTCTCCTCTCTGCTCTCTCCTCTCGTCTACTCTCCCCTCCCCTTCCCTCCCATCCCCTCCCCTAACCCCTCCTCGCGTACCCGCCCCGTGCCTCGCCCCCTCTCTCCCCTCCCTGCGCCCCTTCCCCTCCCCCCCTCCTCCTCCTCCTCCTCCTTCCTCCTCCTCCTCCTCCTCCTCCTCCTCCTTCCTCCCTCCTCCCCCCTCCCCCTCCTCCTCCTCCTCTCCTCCTCCTCCTCCTCCCTCCTCTCCTCATCACCAGCATTATCATCATCCATCATCATCATCATCATCATCATCATCATCATCATCATCATCATCATCATCATCATCAATCATCATCATCATCATGATCATCATCAGCATTATCATCAGCATCATCACCATCATCATCAGGCAGCATCACCATCAGCACCATCATCATCATATTAGCATCATCATCATCAGCATCATCATCAGCATCGTCACCAGCATCATCATCATCACCATCATCCATCACATATCACCATCACCATCACCATCACCATCCCATCACCATCACCATCACCATCACATCACATCACATCACATCATCATCATCATCATCATCATCATCATCATCATCATCATCATCATCATCATCATCATCATCATCATCATCATTATCATTATCATCATCATCATCATCATCGTCATCGTCATCGTCATCGTCATCATCATCGTCATCATCATCATCATCATCATCATCATCAGCATCAGCATCAGCATCAGCATCAGCAACATCATCATCTCTCTCATGGGGACGAGGAGGGGACGAGGAGGAAGGAGGAGGAGGAGGAAGAAGAGGAGGAGGAGGTGGAGAAGGAGGGACGAGGAGGAGGTGGAGGCATGGCAGAAGGAGCCTGGCAGGCGCTGGAGCGCTGGTCGGCGCTCGCCACGTGCCTCGCGGGCGGCAGACTGGACCGCGGCACGGCGGCGGCCAGCGAGCTCCTGCTGCACCCGGAGGCGGTGGGAGGGGCCTCCGAGTGCTTGCGGACTGTCTTGGGCCGGGCCCCACTCCTCCTCATCCTTCCTTCTCCTCTTCCTCCTCATCGTCGTCCTCCTCCTCCTCGTCCCTCCTCCTCCTCCTCCTCCTCCGTCTCCTCCTCCTTCTCCTCGTCCCTCCTCCTAGCCGTTTTGGCTGAAGTTTCTTCAGCTTGCTGTCACCGACACTTCAAAACGGTTGGGTATCAGCGGGCCATTTGTGCGCGGCCCCCTTTCCAAGACGGCTTGCCCGCGATGGCAGGTATGCACAAGTCCCGCGGCGGCAGCGACGGCAATGCTCGTGGTGGCCCTTGTTGGACATGCCGCCTGTGCGGGTGCAAAAGGAATGAGTCTTACTTCAGCTATTGCAAGTACTGCAAGAAGTGGTGGAACGCCCCTGTCGACGGCCAGTCGGCAGCAGGAGAGAAGTCTCGTGGTGACCCAGCCACCCTGCGTCGAGGAGCTGCTGGTGTTGCTGCGGGTCAATCCACCACCCCAGCCATGGCTAGCCAATCCATCGCCCCGCCCAGCAAGGTGGACCTCGAGCAGATCGTCCAGCTGTGCGAAAAGAGTGGCAACCAGGGTATGTTGTAGCAGGTTCAGCGTGAGCTCGAGAAGCTCAAGGCCGCCTCCATTCCCCCTCAGGAGCGTGCTGACGTGGCCCACGAGGAGATCGCCAGGCTGGAGAAGACGCTGGATAAGGATCTCAAAGTGGTTCATGCGCTCGAGCAGAGGCGTAACAATCTGCGCAGTCAGTTGGAGTCCATTCTGTCCGAGCTCGACAAGTACGACGCCGAGTACAAGGCCGCCATCTCGGAGCTCCACCTCACGATCACCAAGCCTGCGCCGCCCGAGCCTCCGTTGCCCACCATCAGCCTCGCAAACATCCTGGAAGGTTGTCTCACTGGGCTGCAAGTTGACGATGGTGGGCTCTTCGGATTGGATGAATGCGTGGAGGTGTCGCCGCAGGCCCTCGAGGAGGCCGCGAGGAGAAAGAGCGAGATGGCCGACCATATCAAGGATTGCTGCACCAAACTCTTCGGGGACATCAAACAGCGTGCCGAGGAGCACAAGGCAGCGCATAAGGCCAAGCAGGACCGCCTTGTCGCCAAGAAGCGCAAGTCCGACGTGGAGTCCAGCAGTGGTGCTGCTGGAACGACGGCTGAGGGATCGGGTGGAGCTGCTGGCGGCGGTGAGTCTTCGAGAGGAACTGCCGCGGCAGACACATCTGAGCTTGCCGCTTCTGTCCCTGCTGGTGGTGGAGTCCCAGCGGCAGCATCAGGGAGCCAGCCTGTCGCGTCGCCCACGCCAGCCAAGGCGGCGCCGCTTGTTTCAGTTCCCGACGTCCGCGCGGCCGCGCGGTAGTCAGTGCAGCGCGGGGCAGGAGCCGCGCCCGATGCACCTGCAGCGGCGCAAGCCAAGTCGCCTGGGTAGCAGAGCTGTGACGGATTCCTCCCGCCCTATGATTCCTCTTTCTTGCCCAGTTTTGGGCGCTGCAGATCCGCCCGGACGTCGCCGGTCGCAAGAGAGTTCGTCCTGGGACCAGTGTGGGTTGGAGTTCGTCAAGGCTAATTGTGCCTCATGGCAGTCTCTCAAGAAGTTCCTTACCCTGACTACTGCGCACGTCGTGTTGTGTCAGGAGCACGAGCTCATCCGCTCTGAGGACCTGCGCAAGGCTCAGGCTTGGTGTGTTCGAAATGGGCGGGCGGCGCATTTTGAGTCAGGGCCTGGAGGTGGCCGATCCTCGGGAGTCGGGGTCCTGGCTCGTTCCTTCCTCGTTGTGCAACCCCGATTTCGGATCCTTTTTTAAAAAATCATCGGGCCACCTTCCTGGCCAGGCCCGCTATTTTGTTGTGGGTGTGTGTTTGCAGAGTTGTGTCGGCCTCGACGAAACCGACAGAGACGTCCTGGCTTGTTTCGCGTCGCGGGCCAAGAGCATGTCGATCCCGTTCGCCATCGGAGGCGATTTCAACATGGGACCATCGATTCTGTGTACCTCTCATGTCCAGTCCAGGCTCGGGGCCGAAGTGTGCTTCCCCTCTCGTGTCGTGGGCACGTGCAGGTCTACTTCGGGATTGAAGATGTATAACTATGTGTTGGTTGGGGCGAGGGTTGCGCAAGCTATTGAGAGCGTGGAGATAATAAGCGATTCGGATCTTGCAACTCACGATCCTGTCTCCCTCAAGCTTCACCCTCAGCTCGCCTCCCTCCGCGCCTTCGCCTTCAGGGGCCCATCCCCTTGTGTCCTCAGGTCCGCCCTCCTGGCCCCCTCCCCCAGCCGCCCAGAGCTTGGGATTTGGTTTCCAGGTTGGCCTCGCGCGCCTTCGGGGTGGCCGGGGGGGGGCGACACGGACCAGGCCCAGTTTAATTTGGATGTGTTGTATAGGGAGGGGGGCACCGCGGCCGAAAACGAGTTTTTTTTTTTTTTTTTTTTTTTGTTCTCTCTCTCTCTCTCTCTCTCTCTGTCTCTCTCTGCTCTTGCGCACATATATGTATGTATGAAACCCGATTCAGTTGCCAGTCCACGGTGCCAGAGGACGGCAGGCGCAGCTCCATTGGGTCAATGTGGTCGATGCGTCTCACCGTTCGATGTTTGGGATTTCCCGCGCCTTGAGGCGACCGGGCTCGGGTGGCCCTGTTCTCGCTGCCGTCTCTGGCTCCAGCTTTGCGCGGTCGGCCCCTGGCCCCGAACGCCGCAGATGGCGCCATCCTCCGCCCCACCTGTTGCCCGCCGTGGTATCCAACAAAAACCTTGGAGCGGTGCGGTGGAAATTGTCAGCTCCCGCGCCAACTTTTCTGCTTTCAGTTCAGAGGGGCGTAGGCAGCGGCGCCTTTCGGAGACTGCGGGTTATCTGCTCCGCCCTCCTTCTTGGCTCGGCGCGTGGGATGGTGAACGCCTCTCCCTCCTTCAGGCCGCGCAAGGTGTTGTTACCTACAGCCCCCCCAACAAGCATATTATTGATGGAGAGCCCCAGCTCGCGCTCGACCTGGTCTCCCAGGCCCTCGTTGTCGCCGAGAGCAACGCCCGTCAGGAAGATCATGGGAGCTGGTTGGAGTGGATCCGTCACAACATCGAGAATGGGGCCCGTCGCGCTCGCGGGGTTGTCCGAGGGGCTGCTGGCTGGACCCCCTCTGCGACTCTGTCTGCCAAGGGCGGGGTGGTCTCTGACCCTGGGGCTCTCTTGTCGTCCGAGCTCGAGAAGTTTGCGCTGTTTTGGCACGCGCAGCCGTTTCCTGGGGCTCGCCAGGCTGGATGCAAGTTCGTTCCCCTAGATCAGTTCGTTGCCTCTGCTCTCGGTTGAAGACCTGCGCCGGGCGGCCCGATCGTTCCCTGCCCGCGCTGCCTCTTCGGTTGATGGGTTCCACGTTCGGTCGTTCGAGCACTTGTCCGACCAGGCCCTGGGGGTGTTGGCGACCATGCTTTCGATCTGGGAACGATCGGGTCTGCTGCCTGGACAGATGAAGGGTGTTCTTTCGATTGTGCTTGCCGAGCCTGATAGGGGCACCGCCCGAATGGCTTGTCTGTTTCCATGTATCGTTTGTGGGTGAGGTATCGTCGCTGTCTCGCTCAGCAATGGGAGTCTGCCCACGTTCGTGATTATTTTTTGCTGGTGCCTTTGCCTCTAGTGTTGATGCGTTCTGGATCCCCGCCACCGATGTCGGCACACCCCTCATGCGCTTCGTGACCCCATAGGGGTTTCCACCGAAGGTCCCAGTGGCGCCGTTCGCATGCGTCCCCGTCACCCCTGTAGGCACACCTCAGACGTTTCGTTTTCCCCATAGGGAGCTCCACCGAAGGTCCCAGTGGCACCGTTCGCATGCGTCCCCGCCATCCATTCCAGCACACACCTCAAACGTTTCGTGGCCCCGTGAGTGGGCTCCACGGAAGGTCCCCGTGGCACCGTTCGTATGCGTCCCCGCCATGCATGTCGGGGAACCCCTCGCACGCTTCGTGGCCCGATAGGGAGCTTCACCGAATGTCCCAGTCGCACCGTTCGCATGCGTCCCCGCCACCGGTTTCGGCACACCCTCACATGTTTCGTGGCCTCATAGGGAGCTCCTCCGAAGGTCCCAGTGGCACCGTTCGCATGCGTTTCCGCCACCTATTTCGGCACACCCCTCACACGTTTCGTGACCCCATAGGGAATTCCACCGGAGGTCCCAGTGACACCTTTCGCATGCGTTTCCGCCACCGATGTCGGCACACCCCTCACACGTTTCGTGGCCCAACCTGGAATCCACCGAAAGTTCCAGTGGCACCGTTCGCATGCGTCCCCGCCAACGATGTCGGCGAACCCCTCGCAAAGTTCGTGGCCCCACAGGGAGCCCCACAGGGAACTCCGCCGAAGGTCCAAGTGACACCGACGGCAAGGTCGCCGCCACTCATGTCGGCACACCCCGCACACGTTTCGAGTCCCCGTCAGGAACTCCACCAAAGGTCCCAATGGCACCGTTCTTTCACACGCGTCCCCGCCGCCCTTGTGGGCACCCCCCTCGCACGTTTCGTGGCTCTTCACCCCAGGTTCTCCCAGGCGCTCCCAAGCGCTCTCAAGCGCTCCCAGGCGCTCCCAGGCGCTCCCAGGCGCTTCCGGGCGTTCCAAAGCCAGGTGCTTCGAGGCGCCCCCAAGCGCTCTCCAGGCGCTCCCACAAGCGCTCGCAGGCGCTTCACCGAAGGTCCCAGTGGCTGTGATCACATGCGTCTCTCCCGACCCATTTCGGCACGCCCCTCGCGCGTCTCGTGGCCTGCCCCCAGGGAGTTCCACCGAAGTCCTCGCGGCGATGTCCACATGCTCTCCCCCCCGCTCATGACGGCATACCCCTCACACGTCCCGTGGCCCCATGCGATGTCCACATGCTCTCCCCCCCGCTCATGACGGCATACCCCTCACACGTCCCGTGGCCCCATGAGGAGCTCTTTCTCCTTCGTCCCGCGTGCGTTGAGGTACTGACAATTGCATATGGTTGGGTCGCTCGCCAGGAAC